TTTTTCCCCCCCCCCCCCCCCGCGACCTACAGATTTCTCGCCCCCTCATGTTGAAATTCTGCCCCCCCCAATCATACCATCCTGGCTACAGCCCTGGTTATGTTTACGTAGGTCGACCATCTGATGTGAAATCTACTACTTTGAACGATTTCCAATAAACCAAGCATTCAGTTTATCAACATTTTCTTTCATTTTTTATCTTTTTCTTTTTTATTAAGAAGCAAGTATAACAAAAATAACAATTTTCAAAGTCATGAAGTATCTTCTTGCACACCTTTAACATCCTATAAATTCATCTAGGCAACCAATTTGACTGAAAGCCGAAGTCGGCTTAAAGCGTATTGAACTCTTACATCAGTTCGTTTCTTACGTTGTAATTTTTTTAAGCTATATAACACTGAACAAGTCATCACGATTTGTTCCGAAATGTACCTGAAATCTAGAGACCTGTATTCGCATACAGTGTGAGTGGCGGAGAGTTATTTAAATTGCAACGATTACAAAATAAAAAAATATTTGAACTAATTTATGCCGAAAGTAACTACATGCACGAGGATTTCGTGCAACATAGTTCCTCTCAGCATAAATACGTCCATTTATTTTTAATAAATTTCTAATTGTGTGCACTGAAAAAAAAAAATAATCTTAAATTTGCCGCCAAGAAGTATTTCTCCTTAAATCAAGAATGTTGCTGGTTAATATAAGCTACTTTTTTGCTTAACCCAAGCATTATTTTTCTTGAATCAAGAAAAAGTCAGCTTAAAGCAAGATAAAAAAAATTCTTGGCGGCAAATTCAAGAATTATCATGCTTGATTAAGCTACTTTTTTTTCAGTGTAGGCAAAAAACGCAACTTCCTTTTTATCGATAAGCTATATCCATTGTCTATTGGCATGATCATAAGTATACATAATAAAGCACTTAAAGAATAGAATTGTTTTTATTTCAACCCTATACTGTTGAAAAATTCCTCGAAAGTATATTTAATTGGCTTATGTAATTGACAGATCAAGATGAGGCTAATGATAAGACTAGTTCAAAGAAGGAGCATTACATTTTAATTAACTATTGATCCATAAAATTTCGAGCAGGAAACGACAAGTAAGAATCGTTCCGTCTTTTCCCTACACGCATTAATTTCCTTTTTCATTTTTGTCAGGTGTACTAATACAACAAACTCAATAGAAGATTGCTGATAAAAGACAAGCAGGTCGATTATCAGTTGAAGACATTATAAGCCTGTTTCATGGGAGACTTTAACGCAAGAGTAGCAATAATTATGAAAGATTTAATGTAATAATAAGTAAATCGAATATATTTCAATCGGCTCTTTTGTTTTTGTTGTTTTTTTTAGGTCTTAAGATGAAATACTGCCCACGATCTCAAGGGAGAAAAGGCTAAATGAACTATTTTTTTTTCTTTTTCGTAAAATTGAACGGTTTTTTGCACACCTATTTTGAGTAACTATCACTCTGTTCTAAACTAAACCGTACTCGCCGAAATTGTCACGTGGCTTTCAGTTCAATGTACAAAAGTAAATAAAGAATTTTATTTTTTGAACCAGGCTTCAATTTGCTTTGATTTTAACAAAAATAGCAGGGTCCAGTGCATGGATATATTTTTTTAAAAATATTTTTAAATTTTTTTAAAAAAATAATGTTTAATTTTAAGGAGCCTTTTTGAGGATATGAGCCACTGTTGAATTGTATCAAAACTAGTCTCCAAGGGTAAATAATGTGAAAATTTCGTTTTTAGTTTCATAACACGGGGTCAAACTTTTTCTCAAGTCATAAAATTCAATTCAATTACTGAACTGAAAACTTTCTTCCCCTCGAAATCACAAAAAAACATCACTCGACGTCTCCATTAACTGGACCCTCCAATTCACAACCAAGACGAGGATTAAATCCTAAGTAGACGTAAAAAAACACTTCGTAAAAATCCTTTGGTACACTGCAAGGACACTTCAGCAACCACCAATCACTTTTTTATTTTAAAAAAAAGTTAAATTTTTGAAAAAACACAATTTTTTTATTTCAAATCGAAGACGAACACGATATCAGGAACGAAATCCAAGGAGCGCACAGTTGCATGATACACTTACCAGGTAAGCCATTTCGCTATTCACGTGAGGGACACAAGACACACCGGACACAGAGTGAGTGGCGGAGGCGCCAAAACAGACTTATATAGCGGGATAAAAAGACCGAAAAGGTGGGATAAAAGCGGTCTAGTTCAAAAGACCTAAGACGGCGCAGCAGCCGACTTCCCGCAACGCCGGCCGATCTGGGCCCGAGCTTACGGATCATTGGCCAGATCCTCCCCCCCCCCCCCCCCCCCCCCCCCNGTGTACCCTGCTCCCAGCCCCAGCCCCCTGTCCGTACTCCGACGCACGGTAGACAAAACGCCATCGGATTACAAGCTTCGTAAAACAATGTATAATGGGAACTTAGCGTGACGATTCCAACACTTCCCTTCTAGCGTGATGAGCTTTCTGCATTAGGAGGAGGATATTTTCAATGGACCACTAGACAAGGTACGAATTTAAGCACTCTATTACATGATTTTGAACCAGAATTTCACGTAAAACATGATTCTTTCATCAGAAATTACTGAAATTAACTTCTAACCAGGACCTTGTCTCCACGGGACGTTTTCATGGGATTTGTCCCAAATTCGAATCGCAGGAATGAAACTTCTGGGATTCTTCCCAGTTATCGTCTCCACGGCAAGGGGCTCATACGGTCCTGCGACAAGTTTGCGCGGACAGCTAAGTTAGTAAAAATCGCGTGTTCAACCGGGATTAAAATAATAATTGAACACGATTGACGATGAGACACATTATTTTAACGAAACAAACACGAACAGTAAAGTACTTAACGAAATCTCGTATACTTTGCATTTACTTCTTCTTCCTCTCTCGGTTGGTCCTCGGGTTACAAGGACCATACTTGGTACTGGGAAAAATATTGGTCAACTCAATATTTTTCCCGACTTTGTAAGTGGGATTTCTCCCTGGGACAAATCCCGTGAAACGGCCCGTGAAGATAAGGCCTAAGATATTAACGTTTTAATCGTACATTGGTTACGGGAAATTTGAATTGCCCGGTCACAAGAAACTCAATACTCTACGTGAGTCAAGTCGCACCTTACAAGAGTGCAGGCTTCTCAATCGAGCATTGTTCCTTTCCCACCCTTCATGGTTCAAAGTGTAAAAAATTTACCACAGCTAAGCCAAAGCGTCATGATTGAGGCTACTACATTTGCGTATCGCAAAGACTGCCACGGTATCGTTTAATGTGCGATTTGACTCGCGCAGATCCCCGAGTTTTCATGAGCGGGAGGTTTGAATTCACGCGTCAAGAAACATGGAATATCTTGATTAGGTGTTAGTTTCAGTGATTTTTGCTCCTTGAATCATGTTCTACGTGAAAGTTTGGTTGAGAGACATGTACCAGAATGCTTAATTTAGTACCTTGTCTGGTGGTCCATTGTACAAGGGCCCTAAAATTGTTGAGGCTAAATGTTTTTTGTTCTTTATTTATTATAATTAATTACGAGGTAATTACAGTCTATCCTGTTAGCATGACCATACCAAACAAGCTGATTGGTCATGACGCCGAATACGATGTCATTTTTGACTCCCATGATCTGACGCACTCTATCATTGCGGATCCGATCTCTTCTAGAAATTCCAGCCGACCCGCTCCAGAAATCCATCTACGTTGCTCTTAGCATATCCTGTGTCCGTTTCTTCAGCTGCCAAACTTCACATCCATATATAAGGAAACGTTTGACTACAACGTTGTAAATTCTCCTTTTGTCCTCTTTGAAAATCCGCGGATCCCAGAGGATTTCATTTAACATGGCTATAGCCTTCGTCCCCAGGGTTGCCCTTTCCTTGGTAGTTTAATCCGTCTTTCCATTCTGGGTCAATCGCACCTTAAAATTCTTTTAGTCCGCGTAGCCTTTGATCTGCTGAAAGAAAGGCTGCCAAAGAATATGCTTGACCAGGTTCCTCCAGGGAGGAGACGAAGAGCCCTGTGATCCCAAAAACTTTATGTATGTATTGCAATGGACTGCAAGCATCGTGCCAACTGTTATAGCCCTTAACCATACACTGAGAAAATAGTTATCGACGGTGTAAGTCGGCAATCACATATCTCGTTTGCGGTGTCTGAAAATCTCCGCCTCTATGTTATTTTTTTAAAGGAGAACAAATTGATATCATTCCTTGAAGTTTTTGCAGAATTTTCTTCGCACAGAGAAACATCGTATATAAATACAGCACAGAGATCCTTAGTCTGGACTCTAGATCCAATATGTTTTTTTCCAGCTTTTATTTTCAGGCGTAGAACTTGGACTGCTCAGGGTTTTTCTTGGCTTATCTTCTTTCCTACCCTTGCGTTTAAGTCCCCACTTAAGTCCACAGTTCTGCTATGCTACGGAAACTTTGTTACGACAAGAATGAGTCAAATTTTTAGGCGTAGAACTAGGACTGCTCAGGGTTGTTCATGGCTTCTTTCCTATCCTTGCGTTTAAGTCTCCACTTACGTCCACAATTCAACTACGTTACGGAATTTAGAATGGCGAACCAAGGAATGAGTCAAACTTTTAGGCGTAGGAAAGGGATAATGATAACAAATTAAACAGCGGGTAACAAGGCTAAATTTCACATAAATATCATCGAAACGTTTCGGCTGAAAACTCAGCCAACCTCAGTTGGATAAAAACCGTATAAAATTATAAAAATCTAAAGAAGTAGTATTTGACTGTAACTTTCAAAGGGCGGAAAATGTTGTTATGAGATTAATGTTGTCAGATACCAACATGTTTCCCGTTTTGAGAGGCCAAGTACTACTTTTTTGGATTTCCATAATGTTTTACTGTTTTTATCCAACTGAAGGAAGGCTGCACGGAAAAAAAATTGCTTATTCAACAATTCAATTGCTAAAAACAGTGAGTGCAACATTTCAACGCAGATTTTACAACAAAAAAATGCTACTTTAACCACCCAGTGCGTTTTTTTCCGAGTAAGTGGTAAAATTTAAATAGAATAATAGCGGGAATTTGGCAACGTTGCAATTGAGTTACGTTCCTTCTTCGGGAGAACGACGATTTGTCCGCGGATCGCTGGAGCGGAATCCACGTGCGCCGCGACAAACATGTTCTAAGTTCTGGAGAATCATTTTCACTTTCGTTCGGGGCGGAGGAGGGGACATCAAGGGGCTCGCAAGTGATATCATCAAAGTTCGAGTGACATAATCTGCGAGTCGAGACGCTTCGAATCTGAGGTCCGGCGGAGCATCTCCGCGCTCTGTCGCTGTCTCCGCCGACGTAATCCTTTTGTCGTCAAAATGTCACGCGCCGCTAATCGACGCGGAACGGCGCGAGCCATCCCGTGCCCCCAGCAAATGCCACTCTATGTGCACCAGCACTGCCGTCCTAAGGAAGAACGCCGTATGAGCCCCCAGGCGTTGCCAAATTGGCCTAGAGGACCTAGTCCTGGAGGATAATTAGACCCATACGCATGAGAAAAAATCAGATGAGTGAAAATTAAAAATATTTTTAAAAAAGGATAGAATAAAATGAAAGGGAAAGAACCGGTTAAGGGTAGCATTATTAACAGAAAATCCACCTCAAACTCAGTGAACAACTGTTTCACCTAACCCTGGAGTAGAGGAAATTAGGTTAGCTATACTGCCGTGCTAAGGAAGAACGCCGTATGAGCCTTCGTGCAGTGCTAAATTTATTTTGGTAAAATATTACTTTTTAGGAAAACTTGTGAAAATATTTCGTCCAATTTTCTGGGGAATCTTCTTTGCAATATGACCTTATAGGTATCAGACAATTTCAAGAAGAAATATTTGTTATTCGTCTCAAAAATTAATATTATAAGAAGGGAGATTTGGCAACTCTCGAATGTTCACACGGCGCTCTTCCTTAGTGCGGCACAGAAGTGGTGTGCACCGTACCGCCGTGTTTAGGAAGAACACCGTATGAATCTTCAGGCGTTGCCAATTTATCTTAGATAAGGAGTCAATTTTATTGAGAAAGTTGTAAACCACTTTAGTCTAATTTCTCCGACGAATAAGTTCGCTATTTTATCTGAAATGTCTGAAACTTTCAAGGAAAAATATGCATAACTTTCTTTCAAAATAAATATTGTATCCGGAGAAATTTGGCAAGAAATGAATGTTTTTACGATGTTTTTCCTTTTGATGGCAGCCTACCAAGACCAGCTGTCCAAGTCCGTTAGTGGTATAATAATACGACTCTTGCGTGATCCAGGAATTTGCTTTCAAAATACGAGCTACGTACGGAACGAAACGTATTTTTAAACGAAAAGCAAGTTACCGAGCTTAGAAAGCTCAGATTATTAGCATTTTGTTTTTTTTACCGAAAAACATATTTTAAAAAACTTTTTCGATCTAATTTTATGCATTAACAACCGACTTAATAATGCGTGATATGTTTAACGTATTTTGATAAATAACTTTCCTAAAATTCAGAATTTTTTTTTTGATCGATCGACAATTGAATTGTATCGATAATAATATAGATCCAAGAACCTCTCTTATATGGATTGACATAATCCCGACTCGTTAAAAGCTAAAGAAAGCCACTCTTAATCTCACGAAACGGAACTGACTAAGCTGGCCAGGGATAAGCCGATTGATGTTGTTGTTTTTTCTTGATTAAGGATTGTATGGGTCAGAATCTCTAATTATCTATTTGTGTTATTTTCCTTTTGGTGTCTCGTAAACCTGCTTACCAACAAGAGCTTTGATCGAATAAAGACGACTTATTTACTTCATAACCAAATAACACACGATGCTACAAATGCATAAGGTCATTTAGTTTTAGTGTAACTCGACCTAGCTATCTTTTGGTGATAGAATCGGTCCGTAAAAAATCACACAAAAGCGCTTCCGAGCTTTGACAATCGAAGAGCACACTTATTAAAATTGGTTTTCATTTTATCGGTGTCGGCCTTATCGGTTTTATAGTTCAGCAAACTTATTTCCACGGTGAACACAGTAGAGATAGTCGTCCTCCAAAGTTGTTCAATGAACGCGGTGTACAAAAGGTACAAAAGGATTGAAAAAGATCAAAAACTGAGGATCTAACGGGTATCCTCTAATTTGATTTGTTGCATTCAAAATATTTATTATCATATTAGTCAAAAATGTACAGAACTAAGACAGATTAGAGTTCTTGCTGTATCTCTACTTTCCT